CTAGACCAAGGTGTAGGCGGTCTAAAAGATGTATCAAAGAAGTACACACTTGCCCATAGTACAACAAAAGACTTACAAAAGCGATATATGTGTGATGTTTTGGGCTTTTAAAACTAGATATACTACAAATAGAATTGTGTACAATCGTCTATATATATATTTAATCTCTGAGTTAAAGAACAATCAAATTGAACGAAGGTGAGTAAACTCCAGAGGATTATATTAATTTGATTTTCTGCTCAATTAGTATTTTATAATCTTAATTTATTTGTTCTGAATTTATTTCATCTTTCTTTTGAATTTGAGAGAGAAGTATCTCTGTTCCTCAAATTTTTACAAGATTCTCTCTCTCTCTCTCTCTCTCTCTCTCTCTCTCTCTCTCTCTCTCTCTCTCTCTCTCTCTCTCTCTCTCTCTCTCTCTCTCTCTCTCTCTCTCTCTCTCACGTTTGTATGTGTGTGTACGTGTGTTCTTTGTGTCTGTTGCAATCTGAATTTCTTTATATATATAAATTCAGGCGGAATTGAAGATGGGAAAATTACGATGCTCCGACGAAGAGTACGTATCCGCAACAGAAGAGTTAATCAAGGAAGTCCGTGAAATAATCGACATCACGGAAACGGATATGAAAAAGTACGTAGATGTTTCCGCCATACTCAAACTCCTAAAGCATCCGCTTCCACGCGTAAACGACGTGTTTCCGGACCTAATCCCCGATGATAATAATGATGACATCGACGATGACGACGATGATGATGACGACGATGATGATGATGATGATATTGATGATGATTACGTGGAGATGATGTCGAAGAAGGTTGAACAATTGGATAATGAGCGAGACCAAGTGTCGATGGAGATGACGCAGACTGTGATGATGATGGGGCACCTGGCTTTAGGTAAGGGGGGTGTCCACCCCCATATGCATATCCACAATGACAAGATTGTGTCTATATCGAAACGGTACATCACCCGAGTGGACAAGGCTATGGAGATTTATTTCGAGAAATTAGGTCTCCCGCCTTACGTCAATCCAGTCATCGCACGTGGTGGTGGTGAGGAGTTGCTCGTCGAGATGTTTAAACGAATGGAACAACAGCAATCGGAATAGGGCATCATGTCGTCGTGTGCGGTTGATTTTAGTATTTTAATTATTGTTATTTTTATTTTATTTTTGTTTTCTCCGTCTTAATAATATTGGACTAGTATCGTATTTTTGTTGTGCATTTTGTTTCGAGTAAAAACTTAAAATCGTTTTTAATAAGTGTAAACAAAATCAAGCTAGTGATATCACATGTTCACTGTATATTAGAAAAAAGAAGTAACACAAGAAATAGCATATATATATATATAGAGAGAGAGAGAGAGAGAGAGAGAGAGAGAGAGAGAGAGAGAGAGAGAGAGAGAGGTATTTTTGCAGCTATCACTTGTTTTGAGTTTTTCCATGGGCATAATATATAATTAATCCCTACTAAAATTCGATATTCATTTACGTATTTGTACAAGATATTGATGGTATTGCGTATTCGCATTGGGAAAAGGTTTGTGTTGATCGACGTTGCGGTTAAAGATGTAAAATAGGGGGTTTTCGACACAGTTTAAAGACGTAACAAAACCTCCTTCGATTCCACACAACAAAACAATAATCGGTAAAAGTTGATGTAAGCAGCTCGTGCAAGCGGGCCCCCCATTGCCACGTGAGACGCTCGAAATTGAGTTTAATTAAAAAAAATACAAATTAGATCAAACAGCTGGCAAATCCATGATTTTTGCCAAAGACGTTCAAAAATTTATATATGCAAGAGTAAAATAAATTGAGTTTAATTAAAAAAAATACAAATTAGATCAAACACATGACGAATCCATGATTTTTGCCAAGGACGTTCGAAAATTTATATATGCAAGAGTAAAATTAGTACTAAATTGAAAAAATAAATAAATTTCAACAAAAGTTGATCTCCATAAACTTGACAAACTCATCAAAATCTATCCTTCCATCTCCATTCTCATCAAACACCCCAATCATTCTCCTGCACTTATCCATCTCTAATCCTTCGTTTAATCCTTCGTTTAATCCCAGAGCGCAAAGAACCTTTTGCAACTCCTTCGCATCGATAAACCCGTCTCTATTCTCATCAAACACATCGAAAGCTTCCTTCACTTCATCCAAACACGGACTCCTCTCTTCAAATAGGTCAAAAGCTACGTCCGCAGAGGAAGTTTCTAGAAGGCTCGTTTCGTCCGAATCGTCGAACATTCCTAAGCTTCTCAACACGATTTCGATGTCATCATCAACGGCTGCTCTCTTCGACTGTTTCACCGTTGGATCGGAATCTTCTTTGGAATCTTTGGAGCTGATCGATTAATCGCTCGGAGTGACGATGGCAGTTGTGTCTGACGAAAAAGTTCCGAATCTTCTTCGTGTCGATTATTACACACAAGAACACGATGGATTCGACTAATCCCACGATTAGAAAAACCAGTTGAATAACGTTTATTAGTGGGGAGTTTTCGATTGGAAATTGGTTTGCATAGCCTTGAGACATGGCTAATTATATTTTATATTTGGAGAAGAAGAATTCTTTAATTTGAAAGAAAAGATGATTTTTAGATATATATATAGGGTGGGATATATATATATATATATATATATATATATATATATATATATATATATATATATATATATATATATATATAGTAGTAAAAGTTGGGAGAAATTTGGTAGGGTTTGAAAGAGAGAGGAAGTTGCCTTATGTGGTGAGGGTAACTTAGTCAAGGGGAGAAGGTGGAACGAACATGACAAGAAAAAGGTCACTGCATGACAAATTGAGAAATTTCTTGCCTTTTTATTTATTTTATTTTTATTTATTTTTCTCTTTTTTCACCTATTTTTACGGAGTTTGTTTTATTTATTTTTAATTTTGATAATCAATGACTTTCAAATATTTGATAATTTTCTGACTAAATTTTCATTATTTTAAGTTATGGTATTTGATATGATCTACCTTCTAGTTTAATGTAATATCACGCAAGGACAGGGGTGGACCCAGGGGTTTTCTTGGGGGCGGAAATATCGGGGTAATTTAAGTGAAGATTTTTGTTTTGTTTTTATGGACTGAAATATACAAAATTAAAAGTTTGGGGGCGAAAGTACATTAACTAATACATTAAAAAAAATAGCTTAAAAAAAATTCTGAGGGGGCGGGGGCCACCCCAACCATATGCATGGGTACGCCCTAAGGATAAATTATAACTATCTACTTTAGGTAAATTGTAATCCAAAAGGTAAATTGTAATCCAAAAACACCTTCTTTTTGACAAATTACATCGAGTCATCTACAGTTTGTAAATTTCTTACATTCATTCCTACAAAACAGTGTTAATGTAAAAAATATGCAAATTGCACGGGGTGGATGTAGTTATGGAAAAATTAGGAGTTTATTCATAAATAGACCTTACCTCATGGGCGGAGATTGTAATTTACCCATCCAATATAAAATTGATCTTCTATTCTTAGTCTTTTTGTTTTTTTTTTTTATTTGATTGAATGTGTGAATTTGTCTATGGAAAAATTTGAATGAATACAAGTTGTCATAGACTAGAAAAATTATATATTGTGTGAATGTGTGAAGTTGACTTCTACAAGAAAAATTAGTGCTTTTGGAAGTGGAGGTTTCTTGGCAACCTCTTTTGGTAGTAAATTATTTTATGTTGCCCTCCTAGTGGAGATGCATTGCTTCTTTTTTTTTATGCATTGCTTTTTTTTTTTTTTTTTTAATCTAAGAGGTGTGTACAAACTACAAACCCATTGAATTTTAGAGTCAACTTTACAAGAATATTTGGTATTCAAATACCTAATTTTCATACAACAAATAATTATTTACTTATTTATACCCTTCTTAACTCTCTCCATCACTCTTTTTTTTTTTTTAATTCATTTTTCTCTCTTATAAATTAGAAGATAAGGGCATTTTAGTTTAAAGACGTAAATCTTTTTGGATTTGAATCGAAATAGATTTGAGTTTTTTATTTTCAAAAATTTCATTTTGATTTGGTTAGTTTCCACCTCTATTTTGATATGTGGTCTTTTAATAAAAAAAATCAATTAGATTGATAAATTATTATTATATTCTATATCAACTTTTAGTGTAACCAAATTTATTGTTGGTAACATAAAAAGTTTAAAGAAAACAATTATAGCTAAAATACAATGGCAGTTAATTAAATAAAAATAAATAACAGAAGAAAAATCTTGTGTGTTATAACTATTCTTCCCGTCTCCTTAAATTTATGTCATTTAAACTTTAGTTGTGAACAAAGAATTAAACATTACATGTGGTCTAAGATTTATAATTCAAGCAAATAAGTTAAGATTGAAGAAATTGAATTTCTATCTTAATCTCTTAAGATTTGAGCAATATTAATGAAAAATAGGAGATTGAAGCTGGAAGAAAAATTATTATAGAAAAAATATTAAAAATAAATAATTACAGAAATGTCATTAAGGTTTTCTTAGGATTGGCCCAGCGTTTCTTTATTTTTTATATAAGATATTTGTTTCTTAAAAGCTTTGTACTAGCTTTTGTGTATGATGAGTTTTATTGTAATATTTATCAATTTAAGGGTTGTGCATGGATCGGTTTTAACCACCAACCAACCCATTTTTGACCCATAATTCGTGATGGATAATCAACCATCAACCGACCCATTTAAGTTGGGTCGATAATGTCAACCAACCCATGTATAGTTGGGTCGATAATGGTTTCTAATATGCTAAAAAGTTGGTTACTAGGATAATATTGGCCAACCAACTTTATTTATTAATTTATTATTTATTAATTTTAATTAAAAATTTTAATATTTTTGATTTCAAATTTTTATTTTATATCACATTTATTAAATTGTCTAATATTGATCAAAATCCTAAAAGCAATAAATCTAACATAATTATCTAATTTGAACTATTTTAATTTTAAGACATATAGCATAAATATTTGGACGATTATTATTTGTTGAACTCTTTATGTTTAATTGCAATACATATGCCCGTAATGTTTTGAATCTTTTATTTGAATATTGTTGAACTAGTCACGTAACGTTGTGACAACTAATAAAATATTAAAAAAAATTAAAAAATATTTAGATGGATGACCCATCAACAAAAACCATCAACCGACCCACGAAATTGGTTTTCAACCATCACTATGTAAATTAGGTCGATAACGGTTTCCAATATTTACCAAAGTTGGTTGGATGGGTTGGGTTGGTTTTATAGCTAGTTTTTAACCAATCCAACCAATGCACAGCCCTAATTTAAATAGAATTTTTTTCAGTAAATTCAAGTCCATTACAAGGGGAAGTAAGGGATGGGAGACTCGAACCATAAACCTTTATTTTATTGGTAAAGGGTAGATACCAACTCTTCTAACGAGAGTTGGTTCAATTTAAATAGTATTACTTGTTATATTTTGAGTATTTGACCGTATTAGAGATGAAGTATAAATTAATTGATTTCGCTACATCTCCCCTATGTTATTTATATGTTTTGCTTCTATGGGTTCTCTACTAGATTTTCTAGCATTAGTAGGGTTAAGATTATGGGCAAAGATTAACACTTTCGATAACATATATACAACTATTTCAGAAATCAATAACTAATTTTAAATTCCGTTCCAAAAAATTAAAGAAAAAAAATTGCAGAGCCAAATACGTTTCAACTAGACCAATAAAACAAACTCAAAAGATAAAACCCAAAATTGACCACTTGTAAATAGAAATATTCTAACTATAAATATGTAGAAAGTTGTCGTCAAGTTGTAGATATTCTAAGATATCCTAAAAACATTTCCATTGTACCAGTCAATTGTATGATTAAATCAATTTTCACTATACATAAGAGAGGTTGAATAGTATAAATGTCAGTTGCATTTTATTTAAAATCAGTTTTAACCCTTATCAAATTTCTCTAGATTATGTGGAACCATGCGGAACGTTCCGGTAGGTGCCGGCCGCCGTAGGAACAAGAACGTGGGCCCCACATAGCTCCGCCACCAGAATGTCCCTCCGGAAGCTCTCCAAACCCTACGAGCAAATCCCAATCCTAGTAATCCCACACTATGCGGATGGTCTCAGTTTTGAACATCGCAGATAAAAAAAAATCGAGAGTATCCAAAACAAAGGAGATGAGCCCTCGAAGGGTGAAACGGGAATGCATGACTGGAGATGAGCCACTTGGCGTAATTACCCGTAGCAAGTAGTACTTCTGTATCCTACACCACATCCCTTATTGGGTGTACCGTACAACCCTTATAGCCTTGGAATGTTCCGTGGGTAATTCCACAACTACCCTCGAGTGAAGAAGAAATTCAAGAAAGTGAGAGTAAATAGGAGAAGAAATTCAAGAAAGTGAGAGTAAATCGGAGAAATTGCTGAGGGTCCCGAAGACATTGAGGATTGACAATCCGGGAGAAGCTGCAAAGAGTTCGATTTGGGCGATGTTGGGTATAAAGAATGACGGAGTTGATTCTAGTGGTGGTCGTCTTTTCGAGCCATTAGAATGGGGAACAAAGAGTGATGAGAAGGTTCCGGAAGCTTCCACCACCCCGCTACAAGCTAATCCGGCGGCAATGTCTAGGTCGGTTAGCTTCCGTGAAAGTTCGTCGTAAGATAAATGATTGTAGATGGTGTTGTTGTACATAAAAGTTTACCATGATTGTAGTAGTGAAGAGGTAGAAAAAAGTGAGTATTTTTTGGATTGAAGTTCACATGCAATGTGAAGAAATAAATGTGTGATATTTGAGTTTTTAATCTTATATTGTAAGATATGTTGGGCTTGTCAACTCTTGCATCAAAAGTCTTTAAGGTTTGTGTTATTTCCTTAATGTAATAATGATAGGTGAGAGAAAAAATTTAGGATAAATTACACTCACATGCTTGAGATATGCTAAAATAATTTTACAGCTCCTGTGGCATCGGTAATTAGGGGTGAGCAAAAAAATCGAGAAACCGAAAAAATCGAGTTGATAAGCACTGTTCCGACTTAAAATTGCATATACGGTAATCAAAAATATCGGTTTGTGTACGTAGAATAAAAAAATTACCGAACCGAATCGATTTATACAAACTGACGTCGTTTTCATATATAGTATAAATATTTACCGTCATCCCCTAGCGCGCCTCTATCCTTCCAACCCCTTCATGTGACATGTTTTTTATTAGAAAATTTTGGATTATTATTTGTTAATTTTCTCAAACAAATATAATGGACGTCCAAATTCACTATTAATCGGTTTTTTCAGTTCTCGGTTAACGGTTTCGATATCAATTCAATATATTTTCAGTTTGAGAACATCCACATAATCTAGAATACTCTGTTGAATTTGAGGGTGAACATGTAAGAAGATTTATAGTTGAAGGATGGTGGTTGTAATTATCAAACAAAAAAGATTTTTTCGTATTTTAATATTACCTCAGGGGTTGGTCGTAATTTACTATGTAAAACCTTATATATATGATTTTTTTTTCTCACACAAAACAAAAAAGGATTATTGTCCGATTAATGACAGATTGATGGGCCAAGGTCCCAGTTTATATTCATGGATTTTTTAGCATTGAAAACCCAATGCAACAAATCGCTATTAAATATTAATTAATTAGTTTACTCAAAAAATAAAAAAATTAATTAGTGAAAGGCCTAAATTACAATGTTCTAAATTCTGATAAATAAAAAAAATTACATAATGTACTAATTAAAGTGATTAATATAAACGTAATTTTAATATTTTATGAGCTGAATTTCTTGCCCGAATAAATCATATAGTACGAAAATCAACACATAAATAAAATTAATAGATAAGAGATTAGTGGGAAAAAAAATAAAAAATATTTGATGCAAGCCAACAATTCTTATTAATTCAGATTTCTGTTTTTCAATATATATTAATCCATACATAACATCTCATTATATATTTTTACACACACATAAATGTGTAAATAATATATAAAAGTGTATAATAATTATTATTACTCGATCCAAATATATGCTTCAATGGATATAACAAAATGGAAAATCCTTCAAAACTATGAACTAACTTCAACCTCAATAACCAAATAGTGGTGGTGGTGGCGGCGGCGGCGGCGGTGGCGGCGGTGGTGGTGGTGGAGGAGGAGAGAAAAGATAACCGGATCTTCCATTAAAATTGGGCCCTGCATCTACATAATCCAACTCAAACATCTCCCTTGATTTTCCCTATGATAAAAATTAAAAAAAAAAAAAAAAAAAAAAAAAAACACGAAAATATAATCGAAATAATCATTAAAAAAATCAAAATAAAAAATCAAAATGTGAATTAGGTTAATTTAAATTTTAAAGTAAAACCTGGTGATCAGAAGCAGCAATTGCATTTTCAGATCTATGCACCATTTTTCTTCCATATCCTATATATATGTATACACAGGGTAAATTAACTAATACAATGTTATTATGGCAGAAAAATAAATAAATGAATAATTAATGTATATGATTTTAATAAAACGAAATATAAAAACAATTTACCACTGGAAAAAATTAGGAGCAGAAGAAAACTCAACAGAAGAACCCTACTGAATAAAGATTCGCCCATCTTTCTCTTTCGGAAATGTTTGTATAGGCTGTTGTTTTTTTTTTTCATTTATAAAGAATTTAAATTTCTTAGAAAACAAAATTAATAAAAAAACAGTAATACTTTTTATGGTATATCTTAGAAACACGCACGCACGTGCGAGTAAGCATGTGATTGCCAGACGGAGAGTAGTAATTTTTTATTTCTTGGGATCGAAAATCATTAAAATCCAGCGCAAGCTACTCTCTTTGCTTTTGCATTTTAATCTATTTTTTCTTTAGCCTTTTCTTAATTTTTTTATTTTTATTTTTTTTTAGGACAATTACGGTCACACATGAGGTATGACTAAATTATGAAAAACTCCTCTTATTTGGGTAATTACAGCCACCCCTCCTTTTAAATATTTTTACATAAAATTTTCAATTCGGTTATTTATCGAATCAAATCGTATATTCTTGAAATTTCGGTTCGGTTTAATTACGAATTTAACATCCCTAAATTTACCTCTGATGGAATTTTTTCGTAAAATAATACATAGTTGATGGGACGACTGTAATTATCCTATTAGAGATTTTTTGTAATTTAATAATAACTCAGAAAGTGACCGTGATTTGCCCTTTTCTTTATATAATTTTCATGTTGTTGACCTTCATAAAGTAAAACTTCACAACTAAGCTAGGGTAAATTGTAACTATGATTATCCTTTAAATTTGATTAATTTACAAAAAAAAAAAAAAAAAAAAAGGACTCAGTTCAATTTATGATTAAATACCTCATTAGTGTTTATTTTAATTACAAATTCCATATATGTAAAGAATATCAATCTATTTATTCTTTGGATTCATAGAAATTTAAAATTTGATATGGAGTAGAATTTTGAGTTAAACATTAATTGCACCATATACTCTAGTGATTTTTGGATTCAATTTTTTTTTTAAATTACACCCACAATCCTGAGATATGCTAAAATAACTTTAAGGTCTCTATGGTATCAGTAATTACGATCGCCCCTGAAACATTGTTCGAAACTCGATCGGAATAACATATCCAATGCATTATCCCGTAGAGTTTCTACAATGTTTCACGGGCGGTAATTGTAATTAACGATACCACATGGATCTTAAAGTTATTTTAGCATACCTTAGGGGTGTGTGTAATCTACCCTAATTTCCCTAACCTATCATTATTACATAGGCAAATTACGGTCACCCCGGAATTAAGGTTAAATTATGAAGAAGAAAAAAACCCTCTTATTTCGGTACGCCAACATTTCATACCATTTACCGAACCGAATATATGATTTGGTTCGGTAAATAACCGAATTACATAAATTTTATTGAAATATTTTAAACGAAGGAGGTGGCTATAACTACCCAAACAATAGAGTTTTTTTATAATTTAACCTTACCTCAGAGATAGCCCCGCAATTTGCCCTTATTACATTGAGGAAATAACACAACAAACATCAAAGACTTTTGATGCAAGAGTTGACTTTGCAAGAGTTGACTTTTAGGTCAAAGCCCAACATATCTTCCAATATAAGATTAAAAAACAAAAATATCCCACATTTATTTCATTGCATGTGAACTTGAATCCACAAAAAAAACTCACTTTCTTCTACCTCTTCACTACTACAACCATAGTAAACTTTTATGTACAACAACACCATCTACAATCATTTATCTTACGACGACGAGCTTTCACGGAAGCTAACCGACCTAGACATTGCCGCCGGATTAGCTTGTAGCGCGGTGGTGGAAGCTTCCGGAACCTTCTCATCGCTCTTCGTTCCCCTCTCGAACGGCTCGAAAAGACCACCACCACTAGAATCAACTCCTCCGTCATTCTTTATACCTAACGTCGCCCAAATCGAACTCTTTGCAGCTTCTCCCGGATCGTCAATTCTCAATGTTTTCGGTACCCACAGCAATTTCTCCGATTTACCCTCACTTTCTTGAATTTCTTCTTCGTCCAAGTTCCTCTTTCCCAAGGTAGGAGAATTCGGACCACCACTACTCGAGGGCATTTGCGGAATTACCCACGGAACACTCCAAGGCTGTAAGGGTTGCACGGTACAACCCCAAAAAGGCGGCGGCGGTGTAGGATACAACGGTACTACTTGCCACGGGTAATTAGGCCAAGCAGCTCCAGGGAAGTACGGGGGGCAATTTGGTAATTTTTCATGCAGCCCCGTTTCGCCCTTCGAGGGCTCGTCTCCTTTATTTGGGATTTTTTTATCCGCAATGTTCAAAACCGAGACCATCGATTCGCATAGTGTGGGATTACTAGGATTGGGATTTGGTCGTAGGGTTTGGAGAGCTTCTGGAGGAACATTCTGGTGGCGGAGCTGTGTGGGGCCCACGTTCTTGTTCCTGCGGCGGCCGGCACCTACCGGAACGTTCCGCATGGTTCCGCCAGCTGTCCAGTACCGCTGGCAGTTCTTACAGAAGTGACGAGGCTGGTTCACGTTGTAGTTGTTGAAGTAGCAGAATTTTGTCTCCATGCTGTTGCAGCGAGGGCAGGGGAGTATTTTGTCGGGTTTCTTGAGGGCTTTTTCGTCCGAGTTTTCTGTCTCGCTCTGGTCTTGTTCGGTTTGATCTTTTTCTTTTACATCATCTTGTTTCGGACCAGAATGAATCTGCAATAATTTTAATCAAAATTACGTAGATAAATCGAATTAATGCCAAACAACTATAACAACTGATTTATTCATACACAAACATCGAACATTTGAACTTTATAAGAAACATAAAAAATTCACAGCAAAAAGATTATAATTATACATACGAGAAGTCACAGACCAAAGACACAATAAAGAAGGTGCCATCTATGTAAGAACAAGACGAATTCGGACACAATTTTCGGACGTGTTCATATGATAATTGAAAAACAAACTTAAGCAATTCCAATACTATAATCTATGTAGCACGGACACAGAAACAACGATACGATGAAACGGGGAAGCGGGGAAACGGATACAGGAAAACGGCAAGTCCCAAAACTGGGGATACGTGTAAATATTAAATGTATAGGGGCATATTTATAAATATGCTATGTAAACATACATAAGTTTTTATTTATATATAAATTCTCTTTATATACTTTGATGCAAATAAATTCAAAATAAATATTTTTATCAACTATCAATTTACAATTGATCATTAAATCATGTAAATAATTAAGGAAGCAACACAAATATTTGGAAATTTGCTATTCAAACATGTTTCTATCTTTTCAGAAATTACAAAATGGCCCAAAAGGCGTCCGTCAGGTATCTTCGAGTACCGGACACAAAAAACGTGTCCGAAACACGGAAACGTTATGAATTTGAAGTTTCCATTTTATTCTTCAAATAAGTGATTTCTATAAATTAGATTTACAGCTCTACACAGACGAAATAGTGTTTTTCGAGGGGGCTAAAACTCGAAAAAACTAATAAATTTTTACATATAATTAAGGTTTTTCAGAAATGGTGAGGGGGGCCATGGCCCCCCCTAGCCCTATAATAAAACTTTTTAAATGCCAAAATCTAACTTCTAAATTCTAATCCACAAATCAATACATCTAGAAACCCTAAAATCGAAACACTAAAGCAAGAGTGTTTCCCCCAAAGTACACAAAATCATGAAACAACAATCAAAATTAAGATCGACCCATAATTAATTACACCAAGAAATTAAATATTCGCCTTTAAAAAAAATTATTTCCAAAAAAAAAAAATCTCATACCTTAAGAGATTCTTGATCCTCTGCATCTCCATTTGAATTAGATGAACAAGGTGGATCTTGGTTTGAGCTATCATCTCCGGCAGCTTCACACGACTGAGCTGCAACAACATTTTCTTCCGCCGCCGCCGCCGCCGCCGAAGTCTCCGGTAGTTCAATGGTTTTACCAAAAAGCTTTATCTTGGGGTCTTTTACTTCAGCCATTTCTCTCTCTTCTCTCTCTCTCTCTCTCTCTATCTCACTATATCCAAAGCTCTAAAAACAGAGTAAAAACAAAGAGAGAAAAATAAGGCACCGATGAATTGGAGATCTGACACGCACAGAGTGTGTAACTGCGTGTTTTTTTTTTAGCTTTTCCTATTTGTGGGGGACAACGTGTGAGGGCTGGAGTTTAAGGATTAATTTCCACGTCAGCATGGAAAGTTAATTGTCAGCCACACGTTGTATATGTGGCCTTCAGATCTTGTTCTCTCCCTTTTTTTCACTTTTCTCCTTTTTTTCCTTTTTTTTAAAAAATTATATTCTTGTGGGACCCACCCCCCACCTCTTCAATCTGACTAAGCATTTTATCCATCTTTATTCGTTTGGTAAATCACAAAAAACCCACAAACTTGTGCTAAATAACGAAAAATTATATCCGTAATAACCGAAATCCTTCTCTGATTAAATGTTGATCAAGTTTTTTCTAATAGAAAATGTGTACAATCTATTATACATTCTTATTAAATAGGTGAGAAATAAAAGGAAACATCTGAACTTGTGTAAAGTCTATTCACCGTAATATTAAAAAATTGTAAAAAGTCATATTGTAAGAGGTTGGTGTAAGACGAAAACAAACCTCATGAATTTTTGATAATTACGAATAATTGAGGATGATTTTTGTTATTTAGTCTAAATTTAGGAAATTTTTCGTAATTTACTCTTATCGTTCTCATTTCTTTTCGTTTTTTTACGAAAAATACCCAAGTCCCTTTTCAGTTCACGTTCAGTCTTTATTCAGGATAAAACATCTGTCACTTCCTACTTTTTAAGTTTTATTACAAATCACTCCTTATCCACTTGAAATGGCATATTGTCCTTATTCTTATAGTCCATTGCACTTGAAATGACAACATTGCCCTCAATTAATTTTATTTAATTGGGGATTTTTTTCTAATTAACCCTTGATCGGACGCCCTGTTTGAAAAGTCCCCAAACTTTTCAGTCTTTTTACTATTTTTATTTTTCTTTTTTTGCAATTCAACTTTTTTTGTGTGGATAAAAATGAAAGCTTGTTAAAAGTAAGAGAAAAAAGAAAAGAAAAAAGTTATCGTATAAGTTTTCGACCACCCCAGCCGAACATGTGGAATCTAACAATCTTTCTTTTAATTATTTAATTTATATGGTTAATTTCACTTTGATAAGATTGTTTTTCCTTCCAAGATTAACCTTTAAAAAAACAACAAAAAAAAAAAAAAAAAAATTTCTGAAATTATAACTTCAAGTTCTCAAATTTTAGAAATTGTAGGTAAAAATTTAAAATTAAAACATTCAAGATTTTTTTTTTTAAATTGAACGTTGTACTGAAATTCATTTATTATAATAAAATATAATAGTGTATAATGTATATATAATATTGATTTAGCCCATTGGGCTTCGAATATGTTCAATTTAAAAACCTATACAAGGCCCGTTATCCCGTTATAGATGTCAATTTCAATCTTCTTCTTTCTTTTTTTTTTCCCTTTTTCGTAATCTAATTTAAATTTATGTTTGGTAATTTTATGTCGCACTATCGGTCTCGGTTAAGAGAATTTGAAATCTAGCAAGATTCAGTTATATTACAAAACTTGAATGTTAAATGTCGTTTCAGTTTTAGTAATAATGTTTTGGTTTCGATCGTGATTTTTAACTCTTTTGTAGTCTGATTTTGACAAAATTTAAAACAGTGAAATTGTAGCATTTTGAGTTTTTTTTTTTCTAACTTGAATCAGCCAAATTGTACGTCAAATGATAAAGTTATGCATGAATCAGTTATATTTTAGAAATTTTTGGTAACTGAAAAAATCAAATTTGTGGGTAGTACACGTTGATTCATGCATATCTTTCTCACCCAATATTAAATCTTGGTGATTCAAATTGAATTAGAAAGCTAACTCGAAAAATTACAAATTTTGCGATTTGAATTTTCTAAAAGTCAAACTAAAAAATAGTCAAAATCCCCGTTTGAAGTTGAAATAATATTCTTGAAATTGAAACGACATTTATCACGTCACATTACAAAGATGATGCGTCAAAGTCAAAGTATAAGTCGTCGATTTTCTCAAAATACGTAGTGGAAGCAATTAATTTTGTTTGAGGAAATAGCTTTATCAAAATAAAAAAAAATAAAAAAATTGTTGATTTGAATAGAAGAGGTGAACCATTCAAGATTTGATGAAATGACAAGTCCAAACATACGTATCAACTAGACATTGACGGTGAACATTAGAATTTATTTACTTTCATTTTGGTAGTAACAAAAAATTTACACAAAAAGTCTAAAAATATTAAAATTTTGGAACACGAGGGACTAAACATATTTTTTATAAACATGGAAGACCAAATGTAATATCAGTGTAAACTTAAGGGACAAAAATTGCATTTTCCACAAATTGCTCTTTTATAAGATTTATGCCTCTATATCTCGGCACAATACTCTTTTTTTTTTTTTTGGGTCCATGATTCTTGATTAGTGCTATCATCATTTATTTCCTTAATTTTGTATTGTAATTTTGTACTACTATTATATTGTATTTATTTTGTATAATTTATTTGTAATTTATAAAAATCATATAGATCCACTAATTGAAGTCAATGAAATCAACTACTTGACATCAGCAAACCACGCTTTTTTTCGGTAGTCAACTGGCTTTGATGCATTTTTTTCAACGACGAGAAAATGTGCATGAAACTTGTTCAATGGGGTGGGTGACTAATTGTAACCTCACTTTTGACAATGAAACCATATTTTTTTAAACATTAGAATCTTTGGAATTATTTGCTGAAATTAAAATTATAACGAAGTTTCGGTTCGGTTTGGATCCGACATAGTTTGAACATTAATTTCCAATTTCCGCCCTCGTTAAGACTACCGGTACTATGTTGATATTTTGTCAATTGTTTTGTCAAAGAGAAATTTAATGGCTAAGTTAGCCTTAATTCCGACTTTTTAATAAGGATGTGTTCGGGTTTTTTTTTTTTTTTTTCTTTTATTAATGATAGGTCTAACTTTTTTTATTTTTAAATTTGCCCTTCTCTACTATTTTACTACACATTACCCATCGCTTGATGCTTTTTTCGTTTTTTTTAATTCGTTTTATTTATTTAAAAATAATAATTTTTAATTTTTCTTTTTAATATTTTTATTTCAGCAAAAAAAAAAATCAGTTTTCTTCCTTTCCAAAATCAATTATAATATTCCAGAAATCAATTACAATGAAAACCAGAGTAATATTTTGGACAGTTTGACTAATCAGATTAAAATTGGAAACATGCATTATTGAACTTCCAATAGATAATATAAAGGAAAAAAAATCTCTAAAGCAACAATTAATTTAAAATAAAACGAGTAATTATTATAAGAAAAAAAATTAAATGTTCATATATAGTAGGGTAAATTACGGACATCCCTGAGATAAAGTCAAATTACGAAAAAAAAAAATCCCTTATATTTGGGTAATTACAAGCATCTCTTCAATTATGAATCTTCTTACACATCGACTCTTAGGTGTCAAATTCAACATAACCTTCTACATTTTCGTGAAATGTTCTCTAAATTCAGCATAATTTTTCTACATTTCGTGAAATGTTCTCTAAATTCAACATAATCTTCTACATTTTGTGGAATGTTCTCTAATTTGTATTCGTTTTGTGCAAAAATACAGTTCTTAATGCACCACAATCTAATAGTTACAAGCCAAGAGACATCTCTTAATCATCTTGTTTTAAAATGTACAGCTCGAATGTGATAAATTTGATACAAATTGAAGAAATATTCTACATAATCTAAAATATTTCACGAAATTCAACACCGTAAAAGTGGACATGCAAAAAGATTCATAGATGAACAAATAATTGTAATTACTCAAACACGATGGGTATTTTCGTAATTTAACATTATCTGATCGGATGACCGGAATTCACCCCGATACAGTATATAATTTGGTTATAATAAATATCAAGTTGACTAAAATGTAGGCCCAAAACCCATAATAATGACAATAAAAATCATATCAAAAAATCAAAATCAAGAAAAGGAAAGTCCAGTCCATGATAGTCCACAAACTCCCACATTTGCAAGCCATTCATTCCATCTGATAATTTATAGCTTCATAACAAAGGGATAAGTTACTCATAAATCAAACCAAACTCTCTCTCTCTCTCTACTTTCTCTCTCTACCCTCTCTCTCTCTCTCTAATGACTGCTAATACGACTTTCACTATTTGCCGGCCAAAGAATCCCTATTTCCACTCCATTTTCATCACCCCTTTTGCTGCTGATTTCTGATTCTTGATTGATTGTGTGAACAAGGCTGTCTGAATTTCAATTGGTATCTAGCGGCCACCGACACTTCTTGATTTTCCAGGTGCTTTTGAGAAAAGAAATAAAAATCTGATCTTTATTTTTCATGTTTTGAAGTGGGTTGTTTCTGAATTTGATTTGGATTGGTGGGTTTGCTTCTGAATTTGATTTGAATTAGTGGGTTTGATTCTGAATTTTGATTTTCGATTAGTGGGGTTTTTTTAATTGCAATTCTTGGTGAAAAAGATTGAATCTTTAGATTTTCTTGGTTCCAAATGGTCTGTTTCCACACCTCAATTCCGGTTGACCAACATATACACATGGCTAAATCTCTGAATCCAACAACCGATCCTTGTCTGAAATTGAGCCATAAGAACAAACACCACTCGAACACACCTGCTTGTGACCAATCTCGCTACGTTATCGTCGATGTAATAATCCTGATCGCCGTGATTTGCGCGTGCGGATTCTTGCTCTATCCCTACGCCAAGATTCTAGCCTACAAAACCTTCGAACTCACCGAAGAAGTCGTCGACGTGGTGTACGAAGAAGTTCTCCGCGCTCCGATGGTGTTCGGTTGCTTGGGGCTCAGCATTTTCTTCGCGGTGCTCGCGTTGATGGCGATCACCGTATTTACAGACAGGAGGTGCGGGAAAAAGGGTTGCCGTGGGCTTAGTAACGCAGCTGAATTTGATATCCAATTGGAAACCGAGGAGTCCGTGAAGAAATCGAATCAGCAATCGAAGAGTGGTGGTTTAAAGAAGGGACTGTTCGAACTGCGCCGCGATCACCACAGAGAATTGGAGGCTGAGCTCAAGAAGATGGCCCCACCTAACGGGAGAGCGGTTCTCGTTTTCCGAGCGAGGTGCGGGTGTTCCGTTGGGAGAATGGAGGTTCCCGGATCAAGAAAATCTCGAAAGGTTAAGAAGTAGTTCTTTATACAATCTTTTTAGTGTTACTTTTGTTTTTTCAATTTAATATATGAAAGCATATGCTATAATGAATTTTATAGATATAGTGATGAGCACTTCCCTTTTCCGTGTTTTTAATTATTTTCGGTGAACGTTATATATTTGAATAAGCTCATTAGAATAAGTTATCTGAACAATATGATATCGACATATGATATATACACATATCTATATATATAAACTGGTTATTTGGAGAATTCGGGAATCCTATTTTCATTAGCTTTATTAGTTTAAAATCAGTTTTATGCTCTTTCACAACTGAAATAGTGTTCATCGTATTTGTGGTCAGTCCTCCGTTGTTTTATAGTTTTGATTCGGTAATGTTTCAACTCGTTTAATTTGTTTCCTATTGTTCTCATTTCGATGATATCTGGTTGGGTTTCGGGTTTTCGGTTTTCGGGTTTCAGTTTCGGGCATGAACCTCTTATGTTCGAAGTTCGAGTGGTGGAATTGAATTGCATTTTAAGCCCTCTTATTTGCCATTTGCCCCTTTTTTTAAAAACTTGTTATATCAACTGTATTCGATTTCTGATGATTATCGTTCTAACTACAGAGAAAACCTTAAATATTGATTCGTAGTGTTTGCGCGATGGTTCATATATCCGATTTCGATTCACTAGTGTTTTCTGAAGGTGATATGCTTATTAACCATCACTTCTAATGCTAGGGTTTCCCAAAATCAATTTGTCTATTATTAAATTCAATCATATCATCTCTATCTCCTATATTAGATTCATCACCGGCCCGGCCCGGCCCGTTTACATGTCTATTTTCTTACATTTAACCCTTGAAAAAGAAAGTTAAACATGGTAGTATTCATGTTGTATTCGATATGTTTTCCATTGACCGTTAGAACGACTAAACAAGTACTCCATTTCGTAAGAAACGAGATATACTTGTCGACTATCCACACACTCATTTCTCGTTTGGGTGGTAAGTTAAGTCTGATTGATTAAATAAGTAACTCTTTATTTTGATGTACAACTTTTTGGACTTGACCTTAGAGAAAAAAGGAACTCTTATCACTAATCCAATTAGACAATCGTGTTCCGGTAAGATTGCATAATTTTATCTTGGAAACCAAACGAATATACTGGACTGTCTCAAGATTATCCGATGATCAGAACGAAGGAAACAAATGACTCGTACGAACCCTAAAAACCATCCCTTGTTCGAATTCCAAGTCTTTAAGCTTGTCTCGACACCACTCCAACTGAGATTTCGAAATTAGAGACATTTTAAGAATCCTTTGGATCAACTTAATATCGACCGCGGCAAAAACAAGATTTACGTTTTCGTCTTTTGTTTCCGAAGGCTTCGTTTTTCTCCTTAGCCAATTCTTCTTCTTCTTGCCTTGCAGATATTTCAGCATCATCTCTTTCTTCATGCAACATTTATAAATTTAAAAAAAAAAAATTAGAAAAAAAAAGAGGATTTAATCTTGATCATGGAAAGGTGAAATGAGTTGTACCTTGTGCAGTGTTTGAGATACATTGTGTAGGAGCTTCAAATCAAGAGGATCTTCCAAAGGTGGTTGAGTCCTCCAAGTGCACTTATATTTCCAGTGTGGTTTCTTATCATCTGTTTGGATATATAAATGAAAAGCTTCTATGCATTTCTCAATGGCTATTAGAACTCGACTCGCCCGTACGGCTTCCCCTTCGACTCCCGTCCCGTTATTTTCGTCCTCGATAAATCCTGTTAATATCAGTAATAATAAAACTTTATAGTCATTTCAAGATTCGTGAATGTGATGTTACATCTCTCTCTCAATCGAGAGTGTAGCATCGAATAAACCGTTTTGGAAAACGCGCATCCGCCCTGGTAGCAAAATTTCCTACCCGCACTCGTTCCGGGTTTGATTTTTATTAAACCCGCCCCAGCCCCGCCCTGGACCTGGAATTTTTTATTTTTTACTTTTTATTTATAATTTGTTTAATTAAAATATCTTTAAGAATTAGTATTTTATAATATAAAAAATATATAAATTAGTTGGATACGCGGCAGACAATGGTGCATATGTTCAAAACCCATACCCGCTACTGGTGAAAATCTTAAAACCCGTACCCGCCCCATCAGCTAACGGGGCGGGGATTACCCGGTAAATCGAGGGTCGGGGCGGGTACCCTGCTGGGTGGGTTAAATTGCCAACCCTACATGAAATGGATAGTATATTAAAAATAAATACTTCCCAATATTTTAGTGGTTGATTCCAATTTATGGATGGAATTGAATTGGATAACCACTGATGATCTGTCAACTACCAACTCATACATCTTTTCTGGGCATTTCTTTTTAATTTAGAAAATAAATAATTTTTTTTTTCTTTTTTGATAATTCAAAAAAATTAATTAATTAATTCTACATTAAAGATTAAGACAAATATATTTATTACCTACCTGTAACATCAGGAACAAGGAGCAAGCATTGAAAAGAAAGTCTTCTATTAGTGTTTGATGAATTTTGGCTCTCCAATTTTTGGTTCTCCACATATCTCTCCAATAATATTTGTAACTCCTGGAATTTTCCTGCTACACTATGATGAAATAATTTAATTTCACAATTGCCCAATAATTTTAGGTATTGATGATTGAGTCCCTCCCAAAACAAGCATAGTTGAGCAACATAAATCAGCTCAAAATCACACTCCAAACTCCTCAATAGCCTCTTTCTTGATGAATCCTCTAACAATTGAATGATCGCCGAATCCTCGTTCAAGATTGCGTCTGCGCGAACATATAACAAACGAATTAGAAGGATAAAAAAAATCAAAATCGTTATGTAAACACGTTTCTAATCTCTTGCTTGGGAGCAGAGGTGTAAATGAGTCGAGCACAGAATTATTATTTCAATTAAGTATGGACCATTAGTAGTACTCACTCATTCCATATAATCTTTCATGGTATAGAAGATTAAAGAATCCCATTCTTTCTATATACTTGTGGTGGAATGTATCTTCTTGCACACGTGTGCTAATGGTCAACTGCAGTTCATTTGAGGAGTCGACAAACAATTGATCACAAGAGTGAGAAGAAATTATATTCTCGGAATATTCATCAGATTCTTGGATAATTTCTTGATTATTGATTATACTTGACGGTGAATCTTCAAGCTCGGAGAATGAAGAAAAATCACTTATTTCTTGATGGGGTTGGCAATAGTTAAAAGTATTTATCGACTCAACATCGGAATCTTGGAGTTGAAAATCGACATTGGGAGAACTACTAGAAAACGAAGAAGAATTCTCGGTGGAGAATAAGCTCTTGTTTGAGTCAAGATCATAGGTCAAACAAGTGCTTGCGAAATGATCGGAAGACAAATACTCATTCAACCATGAATCTTCTTTCGTACAAGTATCGAAATTAATCGAACAAACTTCCGATTGAACTTTTGGTTTATTAATAATGTGACACGGTGAAGAACACGAGAAAACATCAATAACAACAACATTTTCAACTTTTGCTTGTACGGATTTGAAGATGAACAAACATACACGAAAGGCGATTTTGAGAGGAAAAGAGAGTAACAAGAGAAGCCATTTTTTAAATTCTTTCAACCATAGGAAAATTTGGCAAAACACGAGAAAAAATGGATGAACGTAAAAACCTAAATAAAACCACTTGAGAAATCCACGTGGGATGAGAAAAATTTCGACGATTAGCCAACAAGAAGCCAACAAAGCCATTCATACTATGAACAATCAAATCCTACCTTCACCATTTTTATAGCTATTATAAGTTGACTCTAATTTGTCTTTACGTAAACTAATCCCTTCATTAACAATATCTTAATCGACGTAGGATCAACGAATTTTCTTGCAATGTGATTAGTTGGAATCTTACCTAATGCAGCAATTTTCTTACAAGGCTTTTAGTATATAAATGGCTCGAGCCCCTTTTTTTTTTTAATTGCTATTAATTATTATTCTAGATTCCCGGATTAGTGATTAGTGGTTGATGTTTAATTCGATTGTTCAAATCAATAATCTTGCGTAAAATATTTCTACGATATAAAATAAAGAAGTAAGAGTCGGATAAATCGATAAAACGACTCTTTATTTCAATATTATCCATAATGAATGAGAAGATAAGCATGCATTAAGTCAATGGTTTAAAAATTATGGCTTCTTCTATCTTATACAATTGTTTTGCCCCTAAATATGTACTTAGGAAAAAAAAAGGAAACAAAAAATCGGTCTTATAATATGGCCTTACGACGATAAATATTATACTTCGAGCATACTATATATCGCTACATTTCGGTTTACGAAATGCGATGGTAAATCGAGTGAGGTTCCGAGTAGTTATAAAAAAATATATATATATAATAAATATTACTACTTATTAAATATTAAATCTTTTAGACTAAATTTAAGTTTAAATTTTGGTGGAAATACTCTCAAGGCATGTAGTTATGGGTTAACGTGTGGGCTTCCTTATGTAGGTATTGTGATTTCATGTGAAATGGTGGGCCCCTAAATAGTGTCCATTATTTTTTTCTTTTAGGCCCATACTATATACTTAAAAAGGAATTCTTTGAATGTTTTAACTATAATTATCTTAACAAGGTCATGTAGTTATCTTTTTATTTTGTTCATTTCATAAAAATTACAATATTCTAGCTTTAATCAATAATTACTTAAAACCCGACTTTCAGTCGGGTTTCGATTTTACAGTTCAACCGCCCAAATCGGACTGGGTATGACGAAGACAAGTAAGGACGAATGTACATAAGGGAGGCGAAGAAAGAGAGAATACTAGGTTTACGGCAAATGAAACGATGAAACTAATATATATATATGATCTGTTGGACGACCAAGATTGATTATCCAAGATGGATGATCGAGATTGGCGTTTAGAATATTTTCCTAAAATCGGGACATAAATAAACGAAGTGAATTGAATCAAGTAAAAAAGTTATTTTAGTGGATTGGAGATTGGGCCCATTCCTAAATAAACAAATAATTTGGGCCCAAAACCTCACACATTTAGTAAATTAATTATACATTTTTTTTTTTTTGAGTTAATTCAAGTCCTCACACATTTAGGAAATTAATTATACATTTTCTATTATCTCACACATTTCGATGATCTCATCAATTCTGCTCTTACGTACAAACGGCTATACTTTTACAATTATTTAAAAAAATAAACTTACTTTTTCATATATTATATAATTTTAAATTTTCTATTTCGATCGTGATAAGGTTATTGAATATTCTGCAATTAGCATTGTATACTTTAAGCATATATATTTATTTTAGGTTTTTGCTTTAGTATATTCCTTATAAGTAAGTTAAGAAATAAAAGAAGTAATATTCTGATATAATTGTTAAGTCGAATATTTGACCCCAAAAAATTAAAGAATTTCAAAACTCAATATGAAAAATACAACTGCATAAAAAAAAAGTTTACAAGTTCTTTAATGTTTATCTATAATTTATTTTTTTGTTATGAAAGACAAATTATATATATGTATTAAATAAATCTACAGTATCGGACTTATCACGTGTGACAAGATCCATCTAGCGGTTGTTTACAGTATTTATACTACAATTAAATCTATAAACTAATACGGTGTATTTATCGATATATTTTTTAATACAACGAAATATTAATTTATCAATATATTTTTTAATATATTGTCTTCAAATTGCGATCATGAAAATGTATTACTTAAAGGAGGTTATGAATTTATCGAGGTTGTCGTGTTGCGTAAAATTTGAACACTGAATTTATTTACATGGTAATTAATATTAATATTATTAATATTTGAAGAACACAAAAGCTGACTAATTAGCGGCCAACTGTTTTCCACCTTTTGCTGCATTATATATTGAAATAAAGCATTTAATAATTCAGATCTTCCGTTAATAAAGATGAAAATTACGGGTCAATGCAATCGTAATAATTAATTAATTAATTAATAATTTCTCTTCATATTAAAGGACGTAAAAATAGTTGGCACGTGGCAGTAATTCTACGCGAAGAAAATCAAGAAAAGCACACGTGTTGAAGCATGAGAGTATAGTTTAGTATACGTGGCTGTATTACAAGGTTGCTTAAATGAGTTAATTAACTGCTAAACATCTGATTTTTCCATGCACTAAACTCCAAAAGTTTACTACGTCGTAGGTTGGAAATTGTTACTACATTTGTATAATTTAACTAGGGTATATTGGTTTTTTTCAAATATTATTATATTTATATTCGCTTACTAAATTATTAATTATATACACATAGGAGTGTCTGATATTTTTTTTTATTTAGCGAAATATTAATTTATCGATTCAGGATAAAAAAAAACTATTATTTAATTGAGTTTATTAGTACTTCGAGTATTAATTTATTGAGTTTCTACTGTATCATGAATTTGAAATCACTCTCTCATAATTTATATTTTTCAAATATTATTATATTCTTTTATTAAATTATTAATTATATACACATAGGTGTGTCTGATATATTTTTTATTTAATTTAGCGGAATATTAATTTATCGATTCAGGATAGAAAAAAACTATTATTTAATTGAGTTTATTAATACATCGAGTATTAATTTATTGAGCTTCACTGTATCATAAATTTGAAATCACTCCCTCAAATACTTCAATTGAAATGTGTATTTATAAATTAAATAAACACAAAATAAGTCATATTTTTTATTATGACCAAGTTTATCAAATTCCTTCTTTTTTTTGTTTTGATTGAATTAAATCCTTTAATATACTAACTCTAATTAAAATTTACAAAAAAAAATAAAAAATCATTTTCTATATTAAATATATCAACCATATTCAGTCTTAATTATCGGCCCTCAAGCAAAATATTTTATGAATATTATTAAAAAAAAATATTAAACAGACACTTTTGGAAGAAATAACATTTTCTGAATCCATACAGGGATTGAAACGGATTACCATAACTCTCCTCTTTTTCAGCTCATAATAATTTGTACTCCTAGTTCATAAATATAAATAAATAAATTATTAAATAAATAATATAAAAGATTAATAAATAAATAAATAAATAAAAATAGGAGTAGATCTTTTATTATTTAGACAAAAACCCTCGACATCTCAAAATTCTATGGAATCCGACAAAAGTACTTTTTATATTAAGGGATGTAGACATCGTATTCGTACGTGTGCCCAATGCTCCTTTGCACTCAAAAGACACTTTTGCCCCTATGAGTTTTCACAAGCTAATACGTACATTTTATTTGAATTCATATAATGGGAATTTTCATTTTCAATATTAAATATTTTCAAAATTTTCCAACAAAATTCAAAAGAGAGTTCAAACAATGAAATAAAACGAGATGTGAGAACAACAAAATGCAATACAGAGTTTCGGAACTAAAATCGGATTGGAATTTTAGATAATTTTATATACAATTCCAATCCAGTCTAGAAAAAATTCGGGCCTGAATTTTGAAAATTGTAATGAAAAATAGAATTTTAAATTCGGATTTTTCGAATCGAATTCGTCAGAATTCGAAAATTATGTTTTAATTTCCACCATGAAGTAAAACAATATTAAGATACTTAAATTAAAGACAAGTATAAATTTTAAATTTCTCCAAACTGTAAATATTAAAATAAAAAAATAAAAAGAGAGGAAAATGGACAATTGAGGGGTATGATGGTGAAAGATGATAGGGGGGTGTTGAGGCAGAAAAAGTTAAAAAGGGGTGCCAAAGAGAAATTAGAGCATTAATGAAGGACTCAGGTGAGAGAGAGACTGGCAAACTTTGACAAATTAAGGTGGGTTTCAGTAAATGCAGCAGACCTGCCCCTCTTTCTTTTACATCAATTTGGTAAAAATATGTAACTCTCACGCAACCAAAAATTCCTGTTTCTGTACTTGTTTACCCTCTGTTATTTTTCCCCTTTCTCTTACTAATTATTATTTAATCTTTTTTACTTCTTTAATTTCCAATTATTTTTCTTATAACCTTATTTCTTCAATTTCCCAATAATGCACTTATTTATTATTATTATTATTATTATTATTATTATTATTATTATTATTATTATTATTATTATTATTATTATTATTATTATTATTATTATTATTATTATTATTATTATTATTATTATTATTATTATTATTATTATTATATTTATTATTATTATTATTATTATTATTATTATTATTATTAAATAATAATAATAAAAACAATTTTGTAAATGTTGTATCCTTTTTTTGAAATTAAGAAATCTGTATCCTTTTTTTGAAATTAAGAAATCTGCAGTCAAACACATATGTGTACTGA